CCCCCAATTTTACTAAAGATCTAATACGAATGTAATGCATATATAATAACAATTTAATAAAGATCTAATACGAATGTAATGCATATATAATAACAATTTAATAAATATCTAATACGAATGTAATTTATGTATAATAACAATTTACTAAAGATCTAATACGGATGTGATGCATGTATAATAACAATTTAATAAAGATCTAATACGAATGTAATGCATGTATAATAACAATTTAATAAGGATTTAATACGAATGTAATTTATGTATAATAACAATTTACTAAAGATCTAATACGAATGTAATGCATGTATAATAACAATTTAATAATAGAGTATTTACGCTTATATGATACTGAAAGGTCATTGGCCCTGTAGAATAACAGGACAATATATATATATATATATATAAGTATAATACATTTTAGTTTATATCATACAGGTATCTTATGGGTTTGGCTACGCTCTGCTTCATGTTAACATTAGTCAGAGACTTGGATTCTTCGTCTTAGGATGTTCACCAGGTGGTATTTTTAGCACCTTTTGGACTGTACTGTTGAACGGGGACGTCAATTTGAGCATCACAATGACATTCCTCAGTTCACTTGCTGCACTAGGTATGTACTTACGTGAAATCAAATTAAATCTAATGATAGCTTATTTTGTTATATAATCTTCCTTTCATCTTAACTTCCACTATACTGTCATGCCACTTAGGCTAACTTTCAGTATCGTCATATACGTTAGGCTTAACTTTAGCAATGTTTTATCGCATTCGTTTTAATCAGCTTGTGCTCCGAACGATGGTGTAATATATTATCGGTGTCCAAGGGTGCCCGCAGAAAAAAGTATTAGGGGGGTCAATACCCCTGTAATTACAAATATCTTATGATTTTCCAATAACATAGTAGAAGAATTTTACATATCTAGTATTTTTTTTCTTTTTAAAAATCCGGGGGGCGGGTCAAGTGACCCCCTTGCCACTTCCATGTCGTTGTGGTAAAAAGTAAAAGGAAATACGCTACTTATTTATTCAAACCGTTTCATTTGTTAGCACTATTATTAAACATTAAAAATCCACATATTTTTTCAATTCCTCAAGTTTCTAATTATCTAATTCAAAGTTCAAAACGACTATGAAGTTTTTTAGTGTAATATATTTCCGATGTAACGGTATTTTCCATTACTTACTGTGATAAAGCCTTAGTATGGAGCACAAAATGGCCCATAATTTTCATCCTTTTTCTTGTATAAAAATTAGACAATTTCAAGTGTGTACACAATATGTTTGAAAAGGAGAGTTCTAATTTGTGAGATCAACATATATTGTGCGAAACACAATCAGCATGTAAAGCATGCTAATGCTACGGGGATCTGGGGAAGTGGCCTCCCAGCAAATTTGTAAAAAATAGGTGCTATGAGATTAAATCTGAAATATAGCTTAAATAATTGCATGGCTATAAATATCCAATAAAAAGTCAACAAATCATCATTATGTTGTGACATTGCATGGGTAGCTAGGCTTAAATTAATATAAATAGGTATGTTTTATTATAGTAAAGTACTGTACTGTCTAGATACAGAGTAGTTATTAATTGTTAAATTATATTACTAATTTAAACAACTCTGTATAACAATATTATATTAGCTATTTCAATCATTGGCTATCATGTACGTACTTGTATGCACTTTTGAAATAACATGTTAGCATGTTCCATTCTTCTGGGGTGTTTTTCCATAAATAACTTACATATAGTTTCAATGTTGATAGCGGTATCATAATGATTATGTATTAAAGTTAGAGCACTCAGTCTTTTTTTCTTTTTCGGTTCGTGTCCACCTCAGGTAATTATTCAACCGGAGGAGAGTAGATGCCGAACGTTCACTTGAACTTAATGGCAATATTTTTTTTACATCACAAAATTACGAAGTTCGACCGAATCCTCTCGAACCCCCATCCCCTGCGCACGTGCGTGAATTTTATTAAAGTAAAAGTACCCTTCTAAACGTAATATTATGTTTGAAAAAAATGATCTATTAAATTTTCAAAAATCATAATATAATAAATTATGAATCGACTCACAAATTTTTGTTATAAGTTTACTGTTTTATTAGAATCATTCGCACATTTTAATCAAGAAATAGTAGCTTCTTTGTAAATAGTTTTATAGCACATAACACGTTGCACACTTTTCCTCGCGGATATGAGTAGTATCATTGAGCATGCGTAGTTGGAACTGCACTTCTGTCAAAGAGGAGTAGCAGACGATCAAAACAGTACTAGGTTCAATAGCTTTCATAGCTTTTCAGATAAACTGACGGTAAATTTTGACAAGATAAGTATTAAAGAATACGCGAAAACGCCATCTTTTTAAGATAAGTAATAAAGTTATCGTATAACATCGGACGGTGCGTTCTTAATAAAAATTCTTCAGTGGTTTTCACTGATAGTTGACCAGTAAAACGTGCCAACCTTTGACAGATGTCGTGATGGTAAGTGAATCAATACCGAATCCCCCGATAATTGTTTATACCGGTAATACATTAAGAGATGAAAAATGTTTCAGTCATTCCTACAAGTATAATGTGGTTAAAACTTACATTTTGTCAAACCTTTACTACATTACTGAATTTTTATTGTAACACATAATGATATACATGTCTTTTTAATGTTATTATGTTACTGGCCCAAACTGACTGTACAGATTTCAAATTCGAAGCAACTTTTAGACAATAATTTTGTTATACATTAAGCATTTTTGGTCACCAAAAACACCCATCCGAAGCAGAATTAACATTTTAGTTTATAGATAAGATACCCACTGTGTATTTTTAATCTTATGTTTAGTTACGTTCAAAACTCCAGAACTAAGATAGATTAGTTACAACAAATGTGACATTACGATGACACTTATGAGTCAGCGACACCTTTGAAAAATGATTTAGTGATAAAAGAATTTCGGTTAAATCATATTTCTTTATACTTTATGTTATTATTAGTTTATATGCATATATAATTGTACGTGAAAGTTGTTTTTTTATCATTTGTTTCAACACTTAGGTATGATGCCCTTTTGGATATTCACCCTGGGTTCTACGTTATTCCTGAAACACGAGGCTCAGATCCCCTACGTTAATCTAGTCTTATCTCTAGTGTTGTTGACACTACCCCTAGTTATCGGGCTTTTCATTCGTTACTTTCGTCCAGGCTTAGCAAAGGTATCGGACAAGTTGATTCGCCCTTTCACACTAATCATCTTGATACTGACCGTCATCCTGGCGTGTATTACAAACAGTTACATCTTTCCATTGTTCACGTGGAGAATGCTACTGACTGGAATGTGTATAGCGTGGAGTGGATACGGATTTGGTGCAACTTGTGCGTGGCTAGCTCGTCTTCCAAAAGCACAAATCATTGCTGTATCCATTGAAACGGCGTTCCAAAATATTGCTATAGCGTATGTTGTACTGACCATTTCCCTTCCCCAGCCAGATGCAGACATAACAGCTGTAACAGTTGTAGCTCAAATCATTTTCACGGGTACCCCCATGTGGATCATTTATACGACCAAGGTTTTTCTACACATTGTTTCTCAGCGTTGCTCTCGACTCCAGAATAATAACCATAACGAAATCGATAACCAAATATCAAAGAAAAAGGTTGAAAAATACACAATTACGGATCAGTTCGTTACAAGCAAAAAAGATAAGGCTAGCCAGAGCCCAGAGCACTGTACTCAAGACCAAGTAGAAACTACAGTAAATATTTAACTTACAACTCATCTAAACAAGTTATTCTACATTGCAATTCAAATATGCAATAAAACTTAGGAAAATAATGTATAGGATAAAATACAAACTCTTAGAAAAATGTCTTTAACCTAATATCACTTCTCTCATTGAAGGTTTAGTTAAAATCAAAGATGTGAAACCTGTTTCAAGGATCCGAATTCCGTAATGGTTGAGATATATTTAATTGATAAACGCCAGGTTTAGCAAATAGTTTTGCGTCAGCACTAGAGATAAGTTGATTTTTGTAAGGAAAGAGGAAAATTTCAATATTTTTCGTTCAGCAGGACAAAGCGTTATTTTATAATTTATAGTTTTGGTATTTAAAGACATTTTGCTAAACTATTTATGCACTTGTTTGTTTAAAACGTCTATAATAACGTAAAATTAAAAATATATATGCAGTTAATCTCACTAAATGCTGATTGTTGAATTTCATGCAAACTTACTCGAAGACTATTAGCACTAGCCGTCCCTAATTTAAAAGTGGTATATTAGATGGAAGGCAGATAGCCAACACCACCCACCGCCAACTGTTGGGCTACTATTTTGACAAGGAAAATTGGAATTGGCTTTCACATTTTAATGCCCATACGGCTGAAAGAGTGAGAATGTTCGGTGACTCATTGGTTACAAGTCCTAATCATCAGGCCATGCCAGCCTCTCATGAACTACTCTTAGAGTCCTTATGTATTTCACATAGAGATTGGTAGATTTCACCCAATTTATTTTGTCACACTTCTTCAAACTGAGTGTTATAACAGACAAAAATTGAAAATCACTCAATACAATGAAATATATAGGCCTCACATGTTGTGAACGGTACGAAAACAAATCGTAAATTTGGAATTTATTGGTTAAAAATACAAATGATAAATAGACTCAGAAGAGTGATGAAACACTTGATGAGTCGGAAAATAGAAAACGATTATTTGACAAAAACAGTCATCCGATAAATCCGCAAAGATTTTGTGCCCTTCTCCAGTGGCTGAGCGGTAAGCTTGAGGGCTTATAACTGAAATTCGGAGTTCCATTCTTGTGGTGGACAAATGTTAAACTTTGGGCTTAACAAACAAAGAAACACAGTGAATAGTAGTTTAAACCAGACCAATAAGATTCTTGAGAAAATGAAGAAAAGACAAAGAAATCAATATATCTAGCTAAGTATTTTAGGGACATAGTTAAGAATATCATTGACAAAAACAAAAGTTATACATGTTACGAATAGAATTATGATACAAATATATAGGGTAGGGAAACTAAACGTTTAATGTTATATTGTGTTCAGTACAAGAGATAAATCTTTCTTAATATGTCCCCCAGTGGCACAGCTGTATGTCTGCGGACTTACAACGCTAGAAACCAGGTTTCGATACCCGTGGTGGGCAGAGCACAGACAGCCCATTGTGTAGTTTTGTGCATAACTACAAACAAACAAACATACTTTCTTAGCTCTCTACTAGCCCTGGAATCGCTTAATGTCAGTTCTCACTCTGTTCTCTTAGACATTCTCTTGTTCAATTTTTTCTGTCGTCTGTTTCTATCCAGCTTTTCTGGATACCTGACCATGTCGGTATTCTAGAGAATGAGCATGCTTAACTTCAAACAAACACACAATTGTTAATATGTTTCATAATCATCACCTAAAGCTTTGATTTTACGAATGATCACGAAACACTGAACTTACAACTGTTATTCTTAAAAATAAACTATAAATTAAATATGAAACATTTAGAGATCCAAGCAGAAACCAATGATATTACTATTAAGATATTCCCGTCAATACAAAATATTTTACAAAGAGTTGCAATGATTTCTCAGCAGTAACGGATTTATTTCTATTATTATACAACTTTATCGCACATATAGTCCAAAGATGGATAAGTTAAATAGCAATATTTGAGGTTATTCGAACAAGAACTGTTTATTTTGCAAAGGTTATGTTTTATGGGGTAACACAAGGACTTATTATAAAGGAACTGTTATTCTGGGGATTATACTGTGATTATATTTTAAGTAAATATCTAACAAGTGATGCTCCGTTATTAATGAAATCAGTGTTTTTTATTTTTGTATTCACATTGATAGAACAGCGATCGAAACTGTTTATAATAGATACGTTCATAGGAACATTAATCTATTACTAAATAAATAAAGATATAATAATGGCTGGAGACGGCTTAAATGGGTAATGAAGAAAAACTTTAATGTAAGTTTAACATGACAGCAAATGTACACCGTTTCGAAAAGGTTTTGTCACCCCCTGATGAGGACAAACCCTTGTCGAAACGTTGTACATTTGCTGTCATGTTAAACTTACATTAAAGTTTTTCTTCATTACCCATTTAAGCCGTCTCCAGCCATTATTAGTCTCAAAGTGGGTTCCTCGTCATCGAAAATAAAGATATGCTATCAAAATGAGTTGTTATGGTATGAATTGCACTTCCAAGCTGGCAAAGTATGACTATAATTGATTATCTTGTCGTAAGACATTATTATTAGGCCTGTTATATTTTAACACTTCATTCTTTATCTAGTTTCTTCCGACCACCACTATATTTGATGTGTTCCAGCCGACCCGATGAGCTCTGGATTAAGCGAAAAGCATCGTCGCCAGTAGATATGGCGAGCATAATGTGGTTGGAATATTGTTATTAATACAATCTTCTAAATCTTGGACATTCTTAAAGGACTAGATAAAAAATGCAGTGTTGAAAATGTAATAGAACTAATAGTAATGTCTCATGACAAGTATAACTAATTTAAAAAATAGCATTGTAATATAAAGATTTAATCAAAGGGCTATTATCAAAGTTTTTTACATTGAGCCATAACGTATGGTGACTAGTACGTGACGCTTGGAGATTTTGATAAATAAAATATAACAATATCCTCATTCAATCAACAGGAGTGAAAAAAATAACTTGTAAGTTAGCTTTAATCGTTTTACGTTACATTATTAGCTTTAAGGTATTATTTTGTGCAGACACAACTGGTCGTGACACGGAACTTCAACCTGAATGGTACCTTATGCAACAAATGGGTTAAACGGTCAGTTCAAGGTACAAACATAGCCATCCCTAATGTAGAAATGATGCCCAGAGGGAGGGAAACAAGTTAGCAACCCCTGCCGCTTATATGACTACTTTCAATCGAATAGTAGGATTGACTGTCACTTTTATAACGCGCCTAAAGGTGTAGTGAAACTATGATTCTGAAACAATTACACCACAGAACACTCAACACTCTACAGAATGCAAACAATAAACCATTTTCTGGTGAACAAAATATAACCAGAAGAACAAGGCAACAGAAACAGAGGATCAAGTGATAAAATTAATATTCGAAATACTTCTTGGTAGGCTGGGGATGCTCCCCATCTTACTAGAGGCACAATCTAGAAATATCTGTAAAAAATTCGTACGTTTTTATGGTATAACGCTAGCATAAAGCATCACTTGGTTTAGCTCGTAGTTGTTGGTGCTAGATAGAGTTTGTGTGAATCAAGGAATAACGCTAACATAAAGCATCACTTGGTTTAGCTCGTAGTTGTTGGTGCTAGATAGAGTTTGTGTGAATCAAGGAATAAAACTTGATACGCATTTCCAATCGATCT